TTTTTTTTCCTTTCGTCCCTCGTTTCTGTTTTGGCACCTTTTTTTTTGTTTGTCTTGTGAAAAAGTAAAGGTATGAGAGAGATTTCTCTTTCTCCACACAAAGACTTTTACTGTGTTGCTCTCTATCTACATTTTCCATAAAATAGCTTCCCTTAAAGGGTGGAATTTTACTAGAAATATAAACAGTTGGCTTTTGTTTTCTAGACTTGTGGTGTCATGCTTTCCTACCTGCTTGAACTGGACTGAGAAAGAAGCAAGGGCTTGATTCATGGCTGCAGTTTCTCCTGGGTGTCAGCGATTCAGTCAGCCCCGCTGTATTTGTGTGCCTGAATAGTGCAAGTGTGTGCGTGTGCGTGTGTGTGTGTGCGTGTGTGTGTGTGAGAGAGAGGGGTCAATTTATTGATTACAACTGTTTCTGTAGCCCCCACCGTCAAACTGGATTTTCAAGCACACTTGTTATCACCTCCATTAAGATGTGAAATGGATTTTTTTTTGTAAGAAAATTTGCAGAGAAAAAATGTACAAAAAAATATTTTTATGTATTTTCACAGAATAGCTTTTAAATAAACTTGCGTACATACTGGTTGGATATGAACGACTTAACATGAGAGTTCAGATAAAAAGTACTAAACAGCTTCTAGTTCCATATTTTGAAAGCCAAAAACATTACATAAGAGAGTGAGATCTTAAAGTCATGTAATTAATTCTTAATAAAAACTTTCCTGTATATTTTATTCTTTAACATTAGGTGTTGATATGATCTATATGTCAATGCTTGACATTTGGAAATAATCCTTCTTAGCTTTTTATTGTTGGAGTTGTTGCAGCAATTTTCTTTTGTTCTTTTGTCTCTGTTGGCTTCAGTGCTTTTGCTGTTTGTAATTTTTCTGACGAGGACCAGAGTTACCGCTCTGTTTTCAAGAAGAAACATAATCTGTTTACATGTCATGAATGGAAAACAATGAACAGGATGATACGGTATTATAGTATTACATTCTGAAGACATGAAGAGGAGGCATCCACTTTCATATGGCTTAGGTGAAGGTCCAAAATGCCAAATAAGTAAGAGTGCCAAATTCTAGTGCCAGTAGGTATAACTATAGTCTTACTATAATAAATAACTGTCATCTCAGTGAATGTAAATGACTCTGATACATTCTGTAACTTTTGTATCTAGGTGTACAGTTGGTGGCAATGACAGTGCTAATAACAATAGCCTTTTTGCTTTGTTTTTCCATCTCCATATTTTTTGCATTGATCTGACAATAAAGTAGCACCGGTTGCATGTTGTTGCCACATTATACTACATACGTTTATTTCATTAATGCCATTTGTTTTCATTTTATTGTTGAGACTGTGAGGTTACCTATTTGAAATTGGAAATATAATGTAAGACATATACATATATAAATATAGATATACACACAATATATATACGTAAATCATATATTTTATATAAAAAGTTAAAATATTTAAAAACTGTATCCCGTTTCAAAAGCTACTTTGCTTCCATTAAATACTAAATTTATTTGTCAGCATTCTGAAAATGCTTTTAAACTGTTTTCACTTCTGTTTTGCACTATTTTTTTTAAAAATTAGCACATTTGTCTTCAATTCCCTGTCAATACTCAACCTAAGCTGTATTATTTTCAAGGTTTCTTCAAATCAACATTAGAAACAAACCATAGTTGCTATTCAGTTCCATTACGTATTCAGGCTTAACACTGACATTTTGTATATGGAATGTGTGCTAACTTCATTATTTTTTGAAACTATTTCTAAATAAAAGTTGCAGATTTCTTGTTATTCTGTGTATCATTCATTAAGGTTAATGTTATTTACCCTGCAGAGTTTTTCAGCAACATGGATCCATGTGTATTCAGTCTGTTAAGCGCTCTGCGATTAGGTCCATCGTCTGCAAACTCTCAGGTTCACGGGACTCATTGTGCGAGAGGCAGGACACACCTGGCACAATTTGCTCACAAATGAGTCATTTTAGAAAACGTGTTTGAAGATTAATCATCTTTGGGGAAATACAGATGTACTTAATCAGTGGTTCAATCCAAAAAATGATGAATATGTTGTATGTCTTTGAACATCAACACCAGAAGACGACATGGCTCCCAAATCATCACTGACTGAAAATTTTACACTTCACCCAAACTCTGGGTCTCATTTCCAACTGGAATATAAAGTTTACTTTCATCTGAACAACCGTCCAGTTTTCTTTTCTCCTAAGTCAAAGTAAGATATGATACTGTCTCTGGTTCAGGAGAAATCTTAAACATCTTCTGAATCAGAAATGTGGTTCTAGACATGGACAACCATTGTCATCGTTGTGGTTCATGTCTTGGTTTGGTGGATGTTGAAGCGCTGATTTCAGATGTTTTGTGAATCTTCGCAATTGCTTTACAATCCGTTAAAGACTGCAGTTATCCCTGTTTCCCACGCAAACTTCTACCACACTTTTTTCTTTCACTAAACTTTCCTTAATGTGCTTGGATGCAGCACTGTGAACAACTAGTTTCCTCAGCATTTACCTGTTGTTTGTAATCACCAGTCTTCTTTTGGATTGTGTAAACTGTGTTACTCTTATGCAATATTCACTTATTATGAATTTTGGGTTTTCATTAGTAGCCAAAATCACGAATGCTGCCATAAACATATTTGAATTCTATTCCTGTATGTGGAGAGAGTCTAAAACCACATGAATTCATCTTTTTGAATTTCAATTCTGCAATAACTTTTTTGATGTACAGCTGTGGATAATCTGAAAAGACAATTATTTCAAAGATAATTTTACATTAAACAAAGTCGCTGTCATTTGTTTTGTAAATTTTAAAATAGAAATCTTTAGAGTGTCACATTTAGGGATCAAACAAAAGAGAGTAAAGAGAAATTTAATGAAAGGTAGTTTCATTACACCAATAGGGAATTCATTTTAGATTACCCATAAATGAAATAACACAATCCCAGTGTCAAATAAACTGTGGTAGCCATTAGTATATGCAGCAGACCCTACAGATTTTTGCTTTTGAACATAAAAACAAGCAGGACAAAAGAAACTCTGTTTCTTGGTTTTCCTTGATGCTGATTCTCACTGCCTGCTGGGCAGGAACCGGCTGCAGGGAAAACATCGCACATCTTTAAAATAAAGATCAGCATGCTAGCTGCATGTCAGCCTCTTCAACCAGAGAAACTCATCTGGTTTCATTAGCCAATCTCAGATTACCATACCAGGCAAGGATAAAAAAAGATTTACACCTTTATGTAAAAGGATCTCATAAAATATTAAAAGATGGCATTTGTACTTCTGTCTTACATTATTTTGAAGCTGTAAAAATTCTAATTAAGACAGAATTTTCAAGAAAATCAATTGCTTTATTATAGTTGGTGCATGTTTAGGAGAAAACTTCCAGACTTAAATTTATTTATCTTTAGGTTTAGACATTTGGAGATGGTAAAGATACTTGAGCACTGCGTGGCTTCTTGTGTCAGACAGGCTGGTATTTCAGAAAATGCTGTTGTCACACACAACCATTACTCAGCTTTAAAGAGAACGGTCCAAAAATGTAATATTTACCATAGAAGATCAGAGTAGAGGGTGTTGGCAGCATCTTGTTGTGGGGAAGCCTTCCTTCAGGAATGAGAGTGAAGCTGGTTACATAAAAAGGAAAACCTATTTCGATTTAGAAACTTATACTAGCCAGATTAAATTAATAACGTTGAGATGACATTTTAAAGAAAAACTGCATTCAAACTCAAAATCTGCCAACACAAAAAATGCAAGGCAATGATGAAAACACATCCTGGAAAAATGAATACATTTATGTTTTTATTAGCAGACAATACTGTGTTGTCACTAAGCATGTCTTATGCAGAAATGTTAAAGTCTAGAAATGTCCTCGCTTCCCAGGTCGCTTCATCTCTGCTCCAGGTACACATGCTGCTTTAAATGCTTGAGCAGAGGAGCTGCAGCTCACCATCTGGTGCTGAGTTGGATCAGATGGCTTGGCAACTGGTCACATCTGGTCATCAACATTTTTATCTGCATTTTGCCCTAAAGACAAATTTAGAAATTTTTATATTTTTCAACCATTTAATGTTGTTCTTTTAACACCTTTAGGAACATCTAGATTTGCTTGCAAAAAATTGGAGAAATCCTAAGCTTTGTTTTAATTTCCAATGTTTGAAGATATTTTATATTCAAAAGGTTTAGTCTAACTGGAAACGAATAATAAACCGGTAAAATAAAAACCAATAAATCACATATTATGCATGTAATTATGATAAAATAACATGTTTTTTTCTTATTATAAGCACCGTCCTGCTGCTTAACTTTTTCCAAATAAGGAGTGACATTAATTATTTTTGCTTGAAGGATCTTTTTGCATGTTTTCTATGAAACAAGAAATCTTTAAAGGTTAGGAATGTCTCGTGGATATAAAAAATTGCTCTTTTATCAGTAAGTCTGGCTCTCTTTGTCATTCAGAGATTTCTCTTGTTCTTATTATAATGAATTATATCACAAATAGTGTGTTGTGCTTTTGTTTAGCTAAGCTGTGACATTTTTTTATTTGTGAAATTGATGTAATTTTTCAGATAAATAGAATAATTTCACCAAATCAACCTCATCATCTGTGTATAGTCAAGTGTTCTCATGGGATATTAGTTCAGCCAATCAGAGCGCAGAGTGATGTGTAAAATTAATCTTCATCCATGAGAACAATCAGACAGCAGGGGGCCGGCTCATTCTCCCTCACTTCCCAAAGCTACATTGCTAATCAGTGATGGTTGTTGTGATGCTATCCTCACTGGACGGAGGCTAATGATGACAGAAGGTAAACAGAGAATGGCCTGGATCTGCCGCCTCTTATAGATGTCGTCAATAGTGCAGCTGGGACAACGTTTCATCTTCAGGACCGCTCTGGCCTCATTTACCCGATCGGAAAGGCTATTTTTGTTAAGCATGCTAAGTTTAAATAGTTTCAGGAAAACAAAAATAAATCCGTGGCAGTTTTGTGACACACCTTAATTCTCAGTGTTTACATTTCAATCACTTGAAGATTTTTCAGAAGTGCTTGAAAAAAGAAAAGTACTGAGAAAACCTCAGCTTTAATAATTAAAATTAATACAATTCTTTGTTTCAACAAGTCATGCATTAACCACATGCTTAGCCCGGCCTTTCCTCAATCAAACCTGTTCCTCATCTACAACCAGTCTGCCATCTTTAACCAACCCATGTCTGCTGTGCATAAAGTGCTGGTCTTTCTCAGATCTTTGTCAGATTTTACACTACCTTTACCTAACACATCATGTTCCTTGAATTAGTTTTGTTAATAAAAACTTGTCTTCATTGAGCTGCCAGAGAAAGATAAACTGTTATTGGAAATTTATCTAAATCAGCCAGGAAATTCTTAAAGAACAGGTACTGGATTTTAAAAATTAGGTTATATAAAAGATTGTAAGGGGTCAATATCTTACCAACAGGAAATAACTTTACTGGCACCCTAAAAGGCAGTTAGAAAACCAATAAAAATTATTTTCATTTCTAATATTTTTTGCTTTTTCTCCTGCTTTATGTATTTATCAGACAAAATATTTACTAGAAAATCTTTATGTTGCATTCTCAATTTACTGCTTACAATAGGAAGTTTAATGTCATGATGGTTTTGACTTTTTGTTCGTTTAGTGAACTTTAAGGGTCTTTTTACTGCTAAGGTGTTCTAAGCAAACTCTTGGTGTAGTTTGTCTGTGCACATGCGAATAAGGAAATTGGACTAGACCATCTACAAAAACAATTGCACTAAGTCCTTTTTAAGGAGTTGTTAAAGTGGTTCCTTTATGGTATAAGTGTGATCCAACCTGTCCAACAGCATTATGTTAAAAACCTCAGTCGATGGCTGTCCTGAAGCCAAAAACGCATTGCATTGTGGGATGTTGTAAAGCAAACAAACTTCAGAAATCAGCCCAAGTCTACAGTTTTTCAGTAACTTTAAATGCTGGTTAATAATTATATATTTTAGTGAGGTTGAACTCTGATGGTCATATTGATCTTCCACTACCTTGTAGTGAAGAAAAGTTGGTATTATGTTTAACAGTCAATGCAGAATCACCACAACACGCAATATATAATATGTTTTTGACGAAACATTATTTAGCTTTTGTGAATAAACATTGATCCTGGTTTGCTTGTATCGTGATTCTTTTGACTTTAGACTTTGACTAATCTCACATCAGGGTAGAAACTGATGTGAAATTTTATTTAACAGCAATTTTGAGAGTACAACAAAACATGCAATAGATAACAAAATGCCATAATTTTACATGAAAATCAGTTTTTCCAATATGTCGGTGTCTGCTTTAAATAAGTGCCACAAAAGGAATTCTGTCATGTTACCCATTGCCAGGTTTGTTATTAAATGCCATCAGTGTGTAATATACTATCAACATTGTTGGATTGTACCTCCTAAAATCAATGACATTTCCAATGCTGATGCGACATTTTCAATTAATTTCTGCTCTTTTCAAGCAGATCTAACAATAGGATGGCTCATTAGTGTTTACTCCTTACATTTGTCAGTCGCTCTAGCAGGACGGAAGGCAATTCCTTTACAAGACGTGTTCTAATCACCGCAGTTGGTGAGCCTGAGCGGCTGCCAAAGCAACACATTTCCCAGCCAGCCTAGGTGGTGGGTGGTGTAATATGCTGTAAAACAGTTATCCTCTGGCTGGGTTGTCATGGCAACAGTGTTAGCTGGGTTTCTCATGTTCCAGTACAGCATGTGATCCCTGTAGCTGCATGTTGGTGCAAAAAAAGTGGGGGGAGGGGTTGTTTCTCCATACTTACCACCATTTTAAGTCACCCATGAGAACACAGGAAACAGCCGTCGAGTGTTCAATCAGCGGGGTGACTTTCGGGTGAATTGTACAACCAAACGCAATTCAGGACTGACTGACAGTGAGGCGTGCCTCAATAGAGTCGAGATCTTCTGTGCTGAACAAGGTTAGATAAATCCACGTAGTGACAGATAACAGAGCTGTTTTTGTTGCCGTTCTCCCCTCGCCTCAAGCAGGTCTGCAAGAAGCTTTGAGGCGCCGCTTCTTTTTCAAATGTCACGGATGCACAGTTGCAGCTGGGTGGAAATTCTGTGACATTCAGAGTGAAGGAAAGATTTATGCTTGCTACTGTGGTGACAGGCAAAGCTCTATATGTGTTTCAATCAATATGTGGACCATCAATTTTCTTTGACTAACAAGATAAAAAGCAGTCAGAATCAAACTCCTATCTCATTTCTTGCAGTATATCAGTTGAAAATGTTTTCCTCTCCCATTCAATTAGTTGAATTGTTCATGCTCACTTTAATGCCAGAGCTGACTGAGCAATAAAGTAATGGTTTGTCTGGAATAATACAGTGATGGAAGCAAAGAACAAAGCCATTTTCAATCACTTTCTGGGAGCACTCAGGGTAATGAAACACAGAGACAGATACATCTAAGAACATTTCAAGAAGAACCTGTGAAAAACTTCATGTAGACAATATGGTACTACAAGCAGCATGAACTAAAAAAGATGTTATTATGACATCTGATAACTTGAAAATTATAGAATAACCAAAACTTGTGTATTAATGCAGCAATTAAAAATTATATAGCAGCAAGAATTTAAATCACTTATTTTTTAGTGGGTAGGAATATTATTTGCTTCAAGTGAGAAACGTAGGATTTCCAGATTCTACAAGTTCATCAAATAGCATAGCATTTAATAAAATTTTATTTATTGTTTTTTTTTTTTTCAAAAATGAAGTGCTTTGAACGTTCTGTAGAGGCCCAGTCAAAGTCTCAACTAAAATCTGACAATCTGTCAAGAGTTAAAATTTAAGATGATTGCAGAGAGGCCTTGCAGCTGACTGCAAAATATTCTTCATCAGAAATGTCAATGAAGTGCAGAAGACGAAAAATCCCAACAAAGGTTTTCTTATTATTACTGATCAGAGTGTACGTAGTTTTTAAAATGCAGTTTTTTTATTATGATGCAAATAAAAACAGGAACACTATTTCCAGTTTTAATTTTATGAGACCACAGAACATTTGTCCAGAATGAAGGTCTTTGTCCCTGAGTGAATATGCAAACCGTAAAGTGTATTTCTGTGTTAGTTTTTAAGTTATGTTCTTCTTCTTCCTCCTCTCTGAGTCGCCTTTCAGCTGATGGCGATACGGGAATCATCTCTCTGTTAATGTTACCAACTCTTACCAGCGTGAGTGTTTGTAAGGTTGTTTGTTTTGAGATGTACACTTTTGTTCTGAAACTCATTCACTTCTGGGACTTACAACCCATCTCCTTGATGTACGATGGCCTGACATTACTACATTACTCTCTTAAAAATCCATCCACAAAAGTTTGTGCTTTCCCAATTTAACGTATGTAAACTTCTGAATTTGGAAAAGTAATTTGAAAAAGCTCAGAGCTGTATCTGGTTTGGGGCATCTGGCTACTGTATTCAGCTGATCCCCAACAAACAAAAGAATATTCTCCAAAGAAAAGTCATTAATTCTCTACATTTCCCTCATAACACTGTTACAATGTGTGGTTTAATCCCACCAGCAGCCTTGACTCTAAAATTCATTTTAATATGCTTGCCATGGGCTACATGTCCCAGATTTAGACGTCGTACCGTGATTGCTTCGAGACTTAAGTAATTTACATTTAAATTCCTAAAGTCTTCTTATTGAATAACCAAGACTGCACATTTAGCTACTTAGCTAACATTGTCACCCAAAGTCATCCAGAGTTGGAAAGCTGGGAGAGCAGGGAATGGAACCAATGACCTTCCAGCTCAGGAATGAATTTCTCTACCGCCGTCTGAGCGAGACGCATTCCCACAGGCAAACAGCTGAGCCCTGAACACAACACCATATCGATATACCATCATCCTCAATCACCACACCCAAGAATCTGAAGATAAAAACATCCCAAAATATTAACAAAATCCATTCCTACTTTACAGCATAAGGAATAATACAGTGTGTTCTTCACTCATGGTGATATTTTACATATTTCCTGTACTTTTTAAATTTTCCTTTTGTTCAAATGGTAAATAAAATCCTTAAAAGAAGAGTAAACAACAGCCGAAAACATACTCATCTTTTAAATGCGCTCCTAATTTAGCTAAATGTCACCATAACATGATGAGCTATAAATAAGTCATCACTGATGCTTTCAGCTTGGAAAAAAATAATCAGAGCTCTGAAGGGAAACAGGTAAACTACATTTCAGCTCATGTGATGAAAGGAAATATTATGCAGCAGCTGTTTAGGGAGTGGCACAGTGAGCTGCCATCTGTATGAAAATGTCCTAGGCTGTGAAAGGCAAACCTTTAATTTTTCAAAACATTGAATATCAATATATTCTATGGCTAAAGCAAGGTGTCTGATTTTAACCAACTCTGCTTACCTGTTAGACATTTTATTATATCTCCATGTAAAACTGAATTTGATCAAATTAAAATAATACCAAAGGTTTGTGACAGAAATCTGAGACGGGAACAAATTGGACCGCCAATTTTCTCAGGTTCAGTTCTCTCCCAGATGCCTCACCTGATCTGTCATAAGAAACATAGATCATCCATCTTCACTGAAAACCACCAAGATTGAGTTTTCAATCACATATCTGTTCGTTCATTTCAGTACTTTAGGTAAATTGCAAGACCAACTGTGCAGATTATATTACAAGAGTCAATGTTGTGATAATGGATAAAAAGCTCCATGTATCAGTGATTCCACATGCACATTTTGAGTGAAGCAAAAAAATATACGAGTAATAAAAATTTTGAAATAAACACTTTCTGGGGCACATCTAAAACATTTTAGGTAAATGTGAGCACTAGTAATTAACTTTGCACAGCAGGAAGCTTGGGCGGTTCTAGACCTGGGTCAACAGGGGCCAGTGCCCCTGTAAAACCTGTCCCGGTCCCCTTGCTGGCCCTATACTGGCCCTTGCTGGCCCCATACTGGCCCTTGCTGGCCCCATACTGGCCCTTGCTGGCCCCATACTGGCCCCATACTGGCCCATACTGGCCCCATACTGGCCCATACTGGCCCCATACTGGCCCTTGCTGGCCCCATACTGGCTCCCCTGATAAATTTGGTCTAGAGCTGCCCTGGCAATGAGGTAAAAATATTTTGAATTCTGTTTAGTCAGAGACAGCTGATGCATAATTTCTCTTGAACATTTTTTTTTATTATTAGAAAACTTTTACTTTATTTACTACTACATTTTTCTCTTTGTCCTATTCAACAGTTTTTCAACTATAACATGTTTTTGCCACAGAAACTAAGATAAAAGAAAAATATCAGCAGAGATACAGAAAGTTTGGTAACACTTTATTTGAAGGGGGGTGAATAAGACTGTCATGATACCGTCATAAACATGACATAACACCTGTCATGAACATGAATAAGCCTTCATGAATATTTATGACTGTTGTCATAAAGTGTCATTATGACACTTTTAATACAAAGTTGACATTATTCAAAATGTCTTTGTTATGACAACTTGACATTAACCAAGAAATCATTACTGGTATAAATTTGTTATAAAAGAATTACTGATTGCACTTTAAAAATTAGGTAACTTTATGTTATTAAAGATAAAGTTTAAACAGTAATGATTTCTTGGTTAATGTCAAGTTGTCATAACAAAGACATTTTGAATAATGTCAACTTTGTATTAAGTGTCATAATTTACCGAATGACGCTTTATGACAACAGTCATAAATATTCATGAAGGCTTATTCATGTTCATGACAGGTGTTATGTCATGTTTATGAGAGTGTCATGACAGTCTTATTCACCCCCTTCAAATAAAGTGTTACCGAAAGTTTGATACTTTCTCCATGGCCAGCAGGGGCCATGGAGAAAGTATGGTCAACTACAATGGATGATTGGCCAGCTACAATGTAACTCAGTGGGATCCCAACTTTGTTTTTACCCTCAAAGCACCTCCTCTGAGGGACAGCCATTGATTTTTCCCTCAGGGCAATCAAATTCATTCAGCCCTGAGGTGTTCACAGTGGAGTTTCAGAGCACATAAATGCAGCAGCTTGATTCAGTTCAGATTAACTATCTGGTATCAAATTTGCTACCTGAAAGTCTAAATGAGAAAAATATTTTTTAAAATGTGATCAGGCCTTAGAAGGAGAGCATTTGAGAAATCAATCAAAACAATCTGTAAAAAATTAATTAGAAATAATTTTAAAAAATGCATTTAATACTCCAATTAAAAGCATCTGAAAGGCTACAATTTTGTTGACTTTTAATTTTAGATTTAATTGTAAGGAATGTCATGAGCAGCTCACAGTCATGGTGGAATCAGTTCCACCATGTCTGGGAAAACCCAGGTTGCTTCCAGTGATTTAGAGAGCTGACAGCATATAAACCCAGCCAGGGAGCTTTTCTGGCGTGAACACAGTCAGCGAGGAAGGGCCAGCCCTGCCAGCGTCTTTGAAAATTATCTATGTAGAAGCAGACGCTGTCTCTTGTAAGAAGAGACTATGGTTCTCGTTCCCACTGAGGAAATTTCCTGCCCTGCTTGTTATTCCAGTGTCTTGTTTGTCACTCTGTGAGAACAGTTACTGGTTTTACGGAGCTAAAGGAGGGTTAAGGAAGTATTGAGAGCCTTCTTAATGAGGAAGAATGGGCAATCTTATTCTAGGGTGGGGGGGCACAGTGTTGGACATATTTCTTCATATTTGCAACTTGACATAAACACACAGAAACAACAGCGGCTCCAACAGTAGATTTCTTACAGAACTCATCTAAAAACACAAGAAAATGTACATCTGGCAGTTATTGCATAGATTAAAGACATTTTCTAAGCTCAATGCATTTAATGCTTTGGCTTAAAGTATTGATCTAAGGACTGGGTGCTGCTGCTTTGTCATAGATATTGTTCTTGCAGTTCAATGAGCCAGGCAGGTCAGCATTCCCCGCTCCTCTGGATATCTGCAGGATGGACGTATTACCAGTCCACCACTGGTGCCTTACTTAATCCATTTATCCAGCCTTCAATTCATCTGCACGGTTTTCTCATTATTTGAATTAATGTTAGGAGTTTGTGCAGACCAGTCAAGTTTTTCCACACCACAACCATTTATCTATGCCTTTATGGATTTTTCTTTGTGCTCTGGTGCTCAGTCATGTTGGATAAAGAAGGAGCCACCCCAGAAAACTTTTCTGTTGGGTTGGAAGAATGATGAAATATTCTAGAATGTCTTGTGATGCAGCATTAGATGTTCTGTTCACTGGACCCCTGGGGCTGAACCTAAATGTCGAAAAACACCTCATAACTTGGTAGATTTATTTCGACTGGGGACCAAAACTGTAACATTTGTTAAATTTTCAACAGTTGTGGTGAACCCTTTGAAACATCTGTTCCCGCCCTCACCTGTGGTGGCGCTGCTCCGAGAACCACTGAAAGAAACAACTTGAAAACCTCTGAA